TTCTCATGCTCCAGCAGATTGCTTGTCCTGGGATTCGGCTAAAGGCTTTCTTCACGTCTTGAAACACCATGTGAATGTCCTGGTTGCCTTCTCTCTATATTCCGAGGACTGGTCTCAAAGCGAAGATAGCATCCGTGGTGGTTTATCTACATGTCATACGGCCGAATTGGTTCATAGTGATGTCCACTTCCTTCCTCATTCTTTTTTAAACACCCTCTCATATATCCTCATGGTGTGACTAAGCAGTTTAATTCCTCGAGAGTTTTCACAGGTGACTATGTCCTCTCTCATTCTGTGCATTGGCATCAACGAATTGCATACGATTGCTGATAACCCGGCTCAACGAGGAGAATGTTTTTGATTTTTGGCATGCTCGGCGACTTAACGACGTGTGAAAGATGTAATCGAGGCAATCGCGCAGCAATTAATAAACAGATAACAGTCTGTGCGTTATAACAGATAACGCCAAAAAGGTGAAAAGATAGTTTTAAAAGTTAAACAAATTAATTAGTTGCCAAAAAATATTGTTCTCAGGCGTTTCGATGTCGGTCACTTTTGCAGTTTTGTGATTAGAGGTCACTTGTGACTTTGTCCTGTTAATGAGGCTCACCGTATAGGTTGAATTCTGCTTCTATGCCCTCAGGTAGTAGTGCTTTTGTTTTAACGGTAAATAGTACTTGCATGTGACAAGCACATGCAATCCTCTGTTTCATTCCGCCGAGAGGGTGGTCGTTTATTAACCTCGAAAGAAAGATAGGCGAATGAACGAATCGGCGCTCGAACCTGTAACCGCTCTGCTCTGAGTCCAATGCTCCACTGGCCTCGAAAAACCGAAACTGCATACTGCCCCTAGAAGCAGATTGATACGAAACTCAACTGAGAGGACTGATGAACTGATTGACAGTGAATAGTTTAAAATCAAGGCTGTTGTAAGACTCAGCGGTAACCTGGTATGTAAAACACTAAGATTTTTCAACGGTTGTTGTAAGACTCAGTGGTAAACTGGTATGTAAAACACTCAGATGTTTCAACACGTATGAATTTATACAGGAAGGAATGAAAGGTAAAATATATGCTCTACGATAGTTCCACTGATCAAAAAATGAAATGTTCCCATTGGACACTTTGCCTTTCTTGTTGTTTTGAAAGGATACTAATTATTAATTATCAGTTGTAAACAATACAGCTTTCAGTTTACCTGGATCCTCTGAAACGGCCGATACTCTGCGTTGAATCGCACCGGTCGTAATATTTTCTGTTGTCATAATCATAACGCAAGAAGCTTTGCCATTCGCTGACAACGGCCTGGAAATTTCGTTCACGCGGGTCCCCAATTTCCTCCTGTTTCTTTTTATCGAAGTTTACTCTTCTAGGCTTTGACGACCTGAGGTATAACTGAAAGGCAGAGGTGACTCTGACGACCTTTTTCCTCATAGGGATGGGTCGCTTTCTCTTGCTCGTGAGGCTGTCGTTAGGCATGGTTCAAGCTTGTCGAGCTCATGGTGAGAAATATGTGCAAATTTAAAAAGAAACCAACATAGTCATTGTTTCATAAGTTCTTTAAGCTGGTTTCCTTGAAAAAGGGTCTCAAAAATTAATGAAACGACCAAGCATTTTTGCCTTAATCTTACGCTAAAAATGTTCGTGTGCCTTTCTGTTAAAAGGAAATAGAAACGAAACAACTTTGACAATGACATTGTACCGTATTTCTTCGGTTTTCACCACTCGAATGACATATTTAGTGTTTTGCACTGTCTTCAGTTCTTTATGTCCATTTGTTCATCGAATATCATTTAATTTTTCTTTAGTGCCCACGCATCATCATTAGCTGGTCAGACGGTGGAGAACTTGAGAAAACATCCTACCATTCGCTGGTCAGTGCAGTAGTTCGCAATCCGTCTGTCTGGTTTGTAATTAAGGTCCCCTTTTTTGCTCAAAACAATTCTGAATTTCAACCTAGTCCGGTTATTTTCTTGTTAACTTTCTGTTTATGACAACTTATTATACACGGTACATATGCTTCATCTGCTGCTCTCTGTCGTTCGATGCCGTATTTCGCTTACTACCTGCTATTCGTGTCAGAAATAGTGAGGACTGATCGTGAAGATTACGTTTTACATAAACACGTACAACTGGGCTTATTTGCTCTGTATTATTATGCAAATTTAACTTGGGGAACCCAAACCACAATTACTTGAAATTTTTAATGCTACTTTAAAGCACCGTTATTATTTCAGGTAAATACGACTCGTCACAAACGTCAGAGTCAAATTCAACCACCCACGCAACGACTTCGTCACCTGTTTTTCTCCACACGCAAGAAATATTCTATTCAAAAAATAATCAAACCGCGAATGATTATCTTAGCCATAGAATATTTTCAATTGCTCTTTTCGGCGTGCTAATCTTGTCTTTGATAATCTCCATTTTAATTGCCGCTTCGAATCTTCCGGAGGCATTGTGGCGTAAAGTACTGCGAAGAAGCCCGTCACAACCACGTTCGACCTTCCCAGGGTCGTCTGGTTCCATCAAACGTCGAGAGTCGCCGAAAAACGGAGGCCTGCCGACAAGGTCGACCGACTCAAAGGCAGAGGCAGCCTCTGCGGCGATGCCGAATGCATGAACAGGCTTCTGTCCAACAGTTCCTGAACAGGATCGAATAACGAGAATGAAAAGGCAGTAACCAGAAGGGCTTTTCCTGTCATCACTGCAAACGAAGCGCTACGGCTTTGTTGGTCGTTCAGAGGAAACTGCGGTGGTTCACAATGATGATTTGTTTTTATTTATATGTTAACCTTGCCACAAAATCTTTACTGTAT